ATGAAAACAGAGATTTCTTAAAAATACTAAGGGACCACGAGAAATTAATCCAGTAGCTGCTGGATGATCCAAAGAAGAATAACATAAGACTGATAGGAGTCTACAAAAACACAGGAGAAAGTACAATTGACATAAGATCAATCTCAGAGAAGACATGGGTGAATATTTGAACACAGACTTTCTTTGGACTGAGATATACCTCTAAAGTATCAAACCAATTATCATAATCAATGTTGTTCAGGCACATATGATGCTCATGTAAGATGCAAAGCTGATCTTACATGGATCTTTTCCAACTTTTCTATGTCCCAGAGCTAACCAACAGCATAGATGCAGTTCATGAAACATTTTTCTGCTGTTCAAAAGATAATTGTAAAGAAAATTTTACAGAGAAGCCTTAAAATATCTTACCAATGAATCAGAGTTTTCCTTTAGAAATAACCAAGAGTTTTAAAGTACAGCTCATCAGAACTGGCTGGAGTTGGGGGTGCTGCACTTCACCACTTGAAGGAATAAAATGTCTGGGTCTGTGTCATAGATGCAGGAAATTTTTCCCTAGCCCTTCCTATCATGGCTGCTTATGAGGAAAAAGAAATTAAATTTCCTCAGAGCAAAGTGTCAGCAATCTTTCCTGATCTTGCTGAGTAACTCACCCTAAAAAATTATTTTGCCAAAAGAAATAAAAATTACTGGGATATGATAGCTGAAAAGAAGGAGTGAAAGAAATTACATCATGGAATCACATGAACGACTGAACACAACAGCCAAGAAAGCAGGCGATAAGACATGCTTCCTAGGAAACCATTCACAACAAATAATGAGAATTGTTCTAGAAGAGGGTGAAAATGCAATTCTACTTCCTCTTCCACCGTGAACTACAGCAGATTTATCTTTCATACACTATACTGATGGGATTGAAGAGAGACAAATCAAAGATACCTTAGAAAGTGACACAATTTAATGCATTGTATTAAGCCAGTCAGTTATTCAGAAGAAATATGCTGCACAAGAAAGAAAGAATCTAAGTACCACATAAAAAAATTAAATCTACATAATTTAATCATAGTAAAATCAAGCCACTTATAAAAGTAAAAAAGACTGAATATATTTACAGTATCTGCCCTCTAGAGATGAGGGGGTTTTCAATATAATGCAACTGAAGATATGACAAGGAAAAAGTCTAATAATATTAGCAGATTTCAAGATTTATCTTCTTCACAAATTACTGTAAGCAAAATTAAATAACAAATGTGAGAAAAAAATCATTTAATCTGTAGTCTTTAAACTACTCAATAAAAAATCCATGAAATGCCTAAAAAACAGAAAACTGCAATTAAAGCATATAAAGTGGAAAATAAAAGTGGCTAATAAAGTGAAGAAACTATTGCTCTATCAACATCAGATAAACAGAAATTAAAATAACCATTTTAAGCTATTACATTAGTCAAAACTCTAATGATGAAAATACATAACGTTGCTGACAAGAGTGTAAATTTCAAAATCTTCCTGGAAAGAAATTTGACCATACATATTAGGAAGACAAAAATATTAAAAATAGAAATTATTAATAAATAATTTGAAGTGTTTTAAGGAAACAATCAGAAATGTGAACAAAAATTTTAATGTTCATTATAATATTACCTAAGCAAAGAAACAAGCTAGCCATGGTGGTACATGCCTGAAACCCCAGCACTCAGGGGGTCCGAAGCAGGAGGATTACAAGTTTGAGTACACCTTGGACACCCAGCCTGGCCACCTTGTCTCAAACAATTAAACAATTAGAAATAAATGCCTACAAAGTGGAAACTAAGTAAATGGCAATGTATTTAGTTATGTAATACACATCAATTTAAACAATTTTTATGAAGAGTATTTAATAACATGAAACAAGCTTATGCCATATTTTGACTAAGTGAAAACATAAAATTGACATATTTAGTATGCTTTTAATTTTGTAATGCAAACATACTGTTTTAGTGAGCTTTCTAGTTCTTTGACAAAGCAACTGAAAGGAGAGGCTTATTTTGGCTCACTGTTTCAAAGGTTTCAGTCTACAGTTGACCAGCTCCATTGCTTTTGGGCCTGTTTTGAGGCAGAAATATTATAGCAGAAGGGTGTGGCAGAGGAAATCTGCTACCTTGGCAGCCAGAAAGCAGAGAAAGAGAGAAGGCTAGGGACTGGATATAGTTCCCAAATTCACACTCCCATGATCCATTCCCTTCAACTGTTTCCATCACCTCCAGTAATGCTGTCAAATTATGATCTCATCAATGGACTAATCCACTTAATAAAGTCGGAGCTTTCAATTTTACCACTTCCCCAAAAGCACAACAGTTGCCAATCAAGCTTTTAGTTCTTGAGTTTGGGGAGACATTTCAAATCCAACCCATAACACATGCTTAGAAAGCAAAAAAATAAAATGTTCTGAAATTTTAGATCCACAGATAAATGCAATGGAATAGAGTGCCCAGAAATAAGCCCATGCAATTATAGTTAACTGTTTAAAAAAAGCCATAAATTGGAGAAAGGCCGGCCTCTTCAATAAATGTGACTGGGAGAAGCTGGATATACACATGCATAAAATTGAAGTTTGACTCCCATCTCTTATCTTGTACAAAAATCAACTCAAAATGGATGAAAAACCTGAAACTGAAAATACTAGAAGAAAATATGTAAGAAACACTTAAAGACATTGGTACACTCAACCATTTTCTGGATACCCCAAAGCACTACATATGAAAATAATAATAGACAAAAGGGATTATACCAAATTAGGAAGCTTCTATACAGCAAAGGTAACAACAGAGTAAAGAGACAACTGATAATGGGAAACATTTGTGCAAAGTATTCATCAGACTAAGGATTAGCATCTAGAATATAAAAGGAACTTTAAAAACTGAATAATAAGAAACAATAACCTAATATTTAAAATGGGAAACTTTACAAATAGTTTTCAAAAGTAGAAATTCAAATGGCCAATAAATTTAAGTAAAAATTCTTGACTTCACTGGCTGTTAAAGGAAGTGTAAAACAAAAGTACAATACAATATAATCTCACTACAGTTAAAATGGATGGACCCAGAGGACATTATGTTAAGTGAAATAAATCACACACAAAAGACAAATACTGTATAGTTTTCTCACATATGGATGTTTAAAATAACTAGGTCTGTGTGTATAATGTAATTATTAGAGGCTAGGAAGGCAGGGGAGAGGGACAGAGAGAGGTTGTATAAAGCCTACCAAATACAGTTGGAAGTAACTCTAGAATTCCATAGCACAGGGGGAGTTGCGTATAGTTCATAATAATGTACTATATATTTTATTAGTATAAGACCAAAGCTCAAAAACTCCAAACCCTAAGTAATGATAAGGAGATGCAAATGTTAATTGTCCTGATGTGATCAGTACATATTTTATACTTGTATTGAGATGCTGTATTGTATCTCATAAATTTGCGTAATTGTTGGGAGTTAATCAAATTTTTAAAGAATTTAAAGAGTTGAAAATGCTAACTACCCTGATTTGATTAGAACACATTGTAACATATATGAAATTATCACAGTGAACCTCATGTTTGTACCATTAAATTAATTATTAATTTTTAAAAACTAAAAAGGTTTTAACAATCTGTTATAGATTATTTTATACTAGTTTTTACATATTTATTATATGTAGTCTTGCTAATGCTTTCTTTCCCATTTTTACATTCTAAACTTTAAATATTAGATATTCAGGAAAACACTAGCACCTAAAAAAAAATGGAAAAATACCCATGCCTGAGAATTTAGCTGAAATTTCCTTTCTTGTACTAAAATTTTAAATTCATCAAAATAGTTTCCTGACAATCATAATAATCTAATACCTATAATTATTATTTAATAATAATTTTACAATGAACACATTGTTTTGCCAATTAAAACCATAGCCTTACAAACAATTTACTCTATCAGAATCAATTCTCAATCACTTCTACTTTATTAAGACAATTTTCTTCATTGAAGAGAATCTTTCTGTGGTGGGGATATAGCCAAGGACATTTAGGATGTTCCAGGCCCTAGGTTCAATCCCCAGCACAACCAAAATACCAAAAAACCCCACAAAAAAACTCCTACTCCTTTAAAAAAATATATATGGTAACATTTTTTTCAGATGGGCTACATGATAAATAGGGTTATTATGTGAATTATTTAATTAGTTATAAAAAGATAACTATCTATACTCATCATGCACACACTGAAGTGAACAAACTTGTACCCAGGAAGACTCTTTGCATGTTCTCTTGACTGTAGGATATTTCCTAGGTTGGATCTTTCCAATATATAGGAACAAAAGCCAGCACCAATTTCTCCTCTTCTAATAAAAGTGCTTCTCTACCTGTTTAGTTATATAATACATTTTACTTTATTACTGAATATGTGATTTGAAATACAAACATTTCACTGATGAAAACTATTTGCTTAAGCAAGACAGAATAGAGTGTCTAAATGGGAAGGGAGAGGAAGGAATGTCTGACTCATAAAACACAAAAACATCTATGGAATTGAATAGAGGCTGAACATCTTTCAAAACCAACCCCAATCATTTTGAAAATGTTGGTTCTTTTAAGTAGGAAGTGATGGAAAATAGGAAAGATTTGAACTTTAGCAGTGTACCTAGAACATGTCCACATCAATTTGCCCCTGAATTGTTATATTAAAAAATATTCCACAGGACAAAAGAAGCATCACTTAAAAATACCCAGAATATTCAAATACAAGAATAACTATATTGAATATCAGAAATTTAGAGTTTTAAATAAATTAAAGGTGATTTGAAATCATAATTCAACCTGTTTTCAAAAAATAATTTCTAAATCACTAAGTACTTTATCCAACACTTCACTGCTAGTCAATTAATACAGTTTCAGTACTTCTTAATGGTAGTATTTCATATTTCACTAGAAATAGAATGAAAATATAATTTTAAAAATGCATCCTTGAAAATAAACTGGTACATACCACTGTGTGGACTTGGTCATACGTACTTTGGATTTTCCCATTTACTTTGTTTTTACCTGTCAAAACAACAAAAAGTGTCATTATTTCTTTCTTAATGCTCCTAACTCAATTCTAGCCAATTACTGTAGTGAAGACTATACCTCATGCTATCTCTAATCTTGGCATGTTATTTCAGTTACTATGCTTTCAAATATTGATTTCAATGAAGTCTGAGTGAAAGGTAACTAGAAGAAAGTCCCTTACTGACTTTTTATGCCCACTTCTGCTGGTCTACCTTTCCATTCTGAACATTACTACATACACTTTAGGCTTTTTTGGATCAGTTGTACTCATAGGTCAAAGTTTTATTTTAAACCCTACAATTGCCACTGACATCATTAGAAACGTCAAATATTAGTTTATCACTTATTTAAAATTATCTAAAAATTCTAAAATAATAATAAATTCTATTCTTTTTATATTTCCTTAAATACTACAACGTAGAAACTAACTCACTTCACATTACACAACTAATAAAATAGTTAAACTTTAGATGGTTAGAAAAAAGACAAAATCATAAAAGCTTATTGAAACAAACAGTTCCAGATACTTACTTCCAATAATAGTCTTGTGATTGAAAATCTTACTCCAAATTCCACCTTCTACATTGTCTTTCACTCCAAATTCATAAACTGTGTTGGGCTTTAGATTTTCTACAATTGTTTCAGTGGCTGGACAGAGTTGAAAAATCCATTTCTTTTCTTTATCCTTTTCTCTATAGCGAATTGTGTAAAATCTGTTGAATAATCAAAATATAATGCTTTACAATCACAGGGAGATTTATAACATACTTTCAAATTTTTTCAATTCAATCTATCTATCTATTCAATCTATCTTTTTCAATTCAATCTAGAATTCAATCTAGTCAGAAGACTAAATTTCATATTGGACTATTCAGAGTTTTTGTAATCTGCATAGAACATGAAAAATAGCTCAATATGTGCATAAGATTTTAATTTCAAATTGTAAGCTGGGGGAGCATGCAGCAGCACAGTTACTTACAGTCTGACAGAATTCCACAGTTCTCAGTTCATTATTTGCTAGTTGACAAAAGTCGAAGTTTAGAGCACAGAGGAGCAGAGCTGTCCACAGCACAGAGGAGGTGAACTTTCCGGTGCACTATACCAAGCCCCACCCCAGTGCAGAGGAGCAGAGCTGCCCCTAGCACAGAGGGGGTGAACCTTCCGGGCTGCCATACCACCACTCCCAGCACCTAGGAGGTGAGCTGCACAGGCACCACCAGCACACATCCCTCCCTCCGACCCCCATTGAAATGAGAGGACATATGAGATGTAAAGAAGTCTCAAAAGCAGACTTTCACATCACCTAAAGCAACCCCAAAGGGAAA